CCACAGGCTGCCCAGGGACAGCAATGTCATCACTAGGCTCCAGGGCAAACGCCAGCTCGGCAGAGTGACCAAGACCTGCGTCAAGGAGGAAGGGAGAGGTCAGTGTGGAACCACAGCCAGAAAGCCTTCAGCTGCAGGGATCTAGGGCTCCCACTTTCTGCGGTGTTCTTAGGGTTCCCTGTTGTATAGCGAATACACTACCAAGCGTCACCCTGGGTAATGTGTACTCAACCATCAGACCCTCTCACAGATGAGAGGGTCTACCATCCCAGCTTTCACAGATAAGGAATCGGAAGCCCAGAGAACATTAGTGACTCGCCCAGAGTCTCACAGTTATTGGCTGTCCAGAATCTTGTGACTCAAGCAAGATTGATTCCAACACAAGTACTGCCACTTCTGTGGTCACCCTGGACAAGCACTGGAGCCTCATGGACTTTTAGGGGGTGGCCTTAGGCGTTCACCATGTCCTTGTTCCCTCTTCTCATCTGTTTAATTCAAGGAGCAATAGTGTGCCTGGTGTGTCAGGGTCGTATGCCCAGATTAACAAACTCAAAGGTACATGGAAAGTTAGAAGTTCTAAGATATAGAGTGAAATAGCAATAAATCATGCTTCTTTTCGCTAACTATGGCTTGGTCCGATGTCTGGCAGGGAAAGAGGGTGTGGGCTCAGGGCTCGGGGCACAGGGCAGGCTGTGGCCTGTCGCCATCCTCCCAGTGCCCCCATGCCCTGCATCTGGGTCCTGTGGCCTTTGTTTTAGGCAGAGAGAAGGAATAGCAAACTCCAAGACTTCCCAAGCCCCAGCAGGACCAGGGTCCTAGCACTTTGCTCCTAGCCAACCTCGGTGCTCTTGCAGAAGAAATGAGCTGGAAGAGCAGGAGAGGGAAGCAGAGAGGTGGGACCAGGCCAATCCAGGGATCAATAGAAGCCAAGGCGGCAGAAGACAGCACTCAGATCCCAGGCAGGATGCCAAGTCATGGACAGCAAGCAACTTACCAGCCCAGCTATAACTTCACTCCAGGAGGAATGAATCCCCCACCCCAGTCTGAAAAGGCAGCCGCAGACCTCGCCTCACATTTCCAGGGAGCCAGAGATCTTGGAATTGCCGCCCCCCGCCTGTCTGGGAGGGGGAGGGGCGCCGGATGCCGGCTAGCGCCCCCACCCCAGAGATCACTGCGTTTCTCGGACATCTGAGGACCCCACTCCTTTAGAGCTCCACCACCCGACCCCTGCCTTGCGTTTCGGCTGCCTCACTTCCTACCCCGGTGTAGCCATCATGGGACAAAGTTTCTCTCTTAAGCGGACGCGGTGTTCTGCTTCTTGGGAAGGGCGACGAGAGAGGAACCCAAATGTGTCTGCTGAGAACGTGGGGCGTGAGGGGAAGGGACTCTATCGGCACCGTGAGAGGGACTCTGTCTTTTCCTTGAGATGGACCGAGTACAGCCACCGAGGGGCGAGGGTGGTGGGCACCCGGGCACCAGCGGAAACCCTCCTGGTCCTTCTCTTCCTCTCCGCTCCTCCGTCTCCTCACGCTCATCCGGGTCGGGTCTCGGCTCCAAGTCCCAGTCGCTCCCCGCGCAGACAGCTGGGTCCCCGCTCGGACGCG